TTCCTGGAACCTTTTGACCAGCTTCAATCTGAACAGGCTGCTTTCTATGCCTGGCACATAGCTGCTTGCCTGGAATTTTCCTTTATCATGATCTTAGTGATTCCCATCGATTGCCTCTTGTGCTGGAGTCACTGTTTCCTAGATCTTACGTCTTATTCTCCAGGTTTCCCCTTTGTTTTGGTGGAGCACATCCTTTAGCAGCTTCCCGAGAAAGAGGATACGGTAGTGCCTTTTTTTTGAAACTTTATTTGTCAGGCTTGAAAATATTGTATTCTCTTCTCAGGCTTTTTTCTTTTGGTAGTTGGGTAAAAAAATTCCCGGCAGAAAGTGATTTTCCTTCAGAAAGTATCGTTCCCCTGACCCCTGATTTCCAGGCTTGATGATAACTCTGATGACATTCCACACCTGTTTTTTGGGAGAATGTTTTATGAAACATTTCATCTTTGAAAACCTGTTGGATCTCCTCTTTGTCCAAGTTATCTGAACGTCCTTGCTGACGTGTTACTCAACTCAATTCTAGCAACAGGCACTGAGAGCATGTGCTGTACAGCTTACTCAGGGAGTGCTCCAGGGTATACAAAGATATACCGAGTCCTTAGGAGCTGGAAACATATGGGAAGCGTGTGAAATACAGCAAACAGGATATTAGTGAGTATGAAGTGTTACACATATAATATCTCTAAAAACAACATCTTTACATATTCCAAGTATCAGTATTTTTTAAAGGGGGATAATCCAGGGTCTCAACTTGATTCATTCAATGGCAATTTAGCCTTCCCATACACTCAATTAACTCCACGTCTCCCACATCTACAGCCCCTTTTCAGGTGGTAGTAAGTTACAAAATAATGTTGACATTTTGATTTCCAGGTTCTGCTCTTAAATGCCAGGAGTTATTAGCCTCTAGGGGGCAGACTTTGCAACCAACCTGCAGAGAGCCACAAAAGCTGAGTTCAATGCCAGAGATTCCCTCAAGCTGTTAGGGAGTCAGTTGGGATATAACCAGGAAGCAACCCCTAAAATGTATTTCTCCTTCCCCTTCAAGGTGTTCCTATAAATACCTGGAGATAGAACATATTGATAAATTAATATAACACATAGTACGTTGTTCAAAAGATGTTTTTCAATAAATGATACAGACCAGTTCTCTCTATGTAATATCTACCCAATATTTATACAGCTGTTGTATCCCTGGTGGGAATCAGCCAAGAGACAGCACTACTCTGGTGGCTGTCAGAATAGTATTGAATAAATTAATACACATCATCTAGTTTAATTCTCACAGCAACCCTACGAGAGAGGTATTTTAATCCTCATTGTACAGATTCAGAAGCTGAAGGATAGAGAGGTTAAGTGCCCACGATTTCAAAGCTAATAATGGCAGAACAGAGCTTCCAGTTTTGAGTAGACCGAGTCCAGAGCTCACAATAAAGCCCACTCACTCCATTAGGAAAGGCAACCCCAAGTATCACTCGGACCCCAGGGTAGACCCTTGGGGATTTGTCACCAAGTGCAGCACTGCTCCAGAAGAGCACCTGGGGAGGCGTCATAGCAGGAATTCGCGAAGTCTGTTCTGATGCTAATTAGCTGTGGGTCTTTGATAATACACTCTGACTCTCTGGGCCTCAGTTTCCATATCTGTAAAATGAAGTTAAGAATATATTCTGAAGACTATATTGGGAGAGGACCCATGATGACCTAGGAAAAGGAAACAGTGAAAGATCTTTCCAAGAGAATGGAGGTTCTAAATGGCCAAGAGACATATGAAGAAATGCTCAATGTCACTAATCATCAGAGAGACGCAAATTAAAACAACTATGAGGTATCACCTGGCACCTGCCAGAATGGCTGCCATCCACAAATCATCAAATAAGTGCTGGCGAGGGTGTGGAGAAAAGGGGACTATAGTACACTGCTGGTGGGAATGCAGACTGGTGCAGCCACTATGGAAAATAATGTGATGTTAATTAAAAATCGATCTGCCATTTGACCCAGTGATCCCACTTCAAGGAATATATCCTAAGAAGCTTGAAACACCAATCACAAAGAATATAGGTACCCCTATGTTCATAGCAGCATTATTTACAATTGCTAAGCTCTGGAAACAGCCCAAGTGTCCATCAATAGATGAGTGGATAAAAAAAGCTGCGGTACATATACACAATGGACTACTATGCAGCTATAAGAAAGAAAGATCTCTTATCCTTTGAAACAATATGGAGGGACCTGGAGAGTATTATGCTAAGCGAAATAAGCCAGTCAGAGAAAGACAAATACCACATGATCTCATTTATTTGTGAAATATAATCAACAAAACAAGCTGATGAACAAAACAGACCCAGAGACATAGAAGTAAGGTACAGACTGACAAGCCTCAGAAGAGGGAGGCAGGCGGCAGGGAAGAGATAAACCGAAGAACTTACCTGCATATATGTATAACCAATGGACATAGACAACAATGCCGGGGTGGGGTGGAGGGGTGGATTGGAAGGAAGGTGGCAATGGGGGAAAAAGGAGAAACATCTGTAACAAAAGTAAATTAATTTTTTTTTAAAAAAAGAGAGAACAGAGGTTCTGTGCTCTCTGGAGAATGATGGGAAATACTGTTGGAACTTTGAGAATAAGGAATGTAAGTTAGTATAGACATTCTTAGGTGGGTATAAGTTTCTTCTTCAAAAATTCCATTATAGTCCATTATAATCCATAATTTCTACCCAAAAATGGGTGAGTCCAAGCAGTGTTCCCCCTCCTGTGAACCAGTGGTTCTGTGGGAGGCAATTAGACAGGCATGAGCAGAGCAAGGACGATGGGCCAAATACAGAAGGGTGGGAAGCCCCAGGTGCCTAGCAAAACTGGAAAACAAGGATCTTGCCCCCAGGGCAACCTTTCCTCCCCTAGCCTACCACTGGTCATTCTTTTTAGACCCTGTGACCTTTCATATGGCTGGTCATGCAGTTCAGACCCTCCTCTGACCTTGGTGGAGAACCGAGGGGCCAAAGAGTGGCCTCTTGTGACTCCCATGGGGGTCCTTGCACAACCACTCCCTTGAGCATCAAACCCCAGGGGTAACATCTAAGCTTCAGTTGTGTTTCAGCTCTAGGCCCAGAAAAGCAGCAAAACCAGTCAAGCAATGCAATGGCTGACATCAGGACCATGCCCTCCAATCACTGGAGACCACAACCCTATAAGGACACACCTTGAAAGCTGATGAGTATTCTATTGAGGTCCTCCCCTGGGACCTCCCCTAAAACTCTGTCCTTAAAAAGCTCTTGGGATAGAGGACCCAACTCGGCTCTCTCTATGGAGCATGCCTATCTACACCTTTCCCCACCCCCTTCTTCAGGTGGGTGTCCCTCGCCTCTCTCTCCTAAGCTCCAAGGGCCCTTCCTTTGCCTCTGTACCTTGTTTCCTGAGCCCATTTCTTCTACCACTCACTTCTACTTCTATGACTTTTAAAATAAACTTCCTCTTCTAGTTTGAGTCTTGGCTCTGAATCCTTTTTTAGCCAGAGCTCAAGTACTAAGGTTACTGAACCGAGGTCCAGTCTGACCCCACTGGTGTAACACTAGGTGCCATTTTCACTGCCCACAGTTCTGACCCCACTAGAGGTGCTTCAACTTGGCTGCGTGTTGAGACAACTGGGGAGTTTCTCCCTGCAGATGCCAGGCTCCACTCCAGAGACCCCGATTGTGGTAATGGCTGAGGCTTTGGGAATGTTGAGTTCCCCCATGTTATTTTAATGCACAATCCAAGATGAGAACCACTGCCCAGAGCTTGAAATTCTTCATCTTTGAAGAATCTCAAAAATATTAAAAAAGAAAACAAACAAAAAGCAGCAGCCCCCTGTGGCTCTCAAACTTTAATGTGCAAACAAACACATCACCTGGAGATCTTACAAAATGCAGTCTTTAGTTCAGGAGGTCAGGGAGGCCTGGACCTCTGCCCTGGTAAGAAGCTCCCAGGGGTTGCCCACACTGCCTCCCCATCTTAACTCATTCAAGCCTCCAAACAACACTGTGAGGTGGGTACTATTATTTCATAACCCCTATTTTACAGATAAAGAAACTGAGGCACAGAGAGGTGGAGTGCCTTAATTCAAGTTACACACCTAGGAGTAGCTTAGCTGGTATTTGAACTTAGGTAGAAGGGGGGTCTTGTCCTCCCCCAGGGCACTTCTGCACTGCAGGCCTGATTTTCGGGAGGTCACGAATTAAGGGTTTATCCTCTGCAGTGGGCTGGGACCAGCAGGTGGCAGCCCAGGGCTACGTAGGTACTGTGCATCTTACCACACGACCGCCTCTAGTTCTCCAGCCTTTCCAACTTCCCTCTCTCCTCCACCCTCAGGTCCTAGCCTAGGAGGCAGCCCCGAGATCCCCATCAAACCACAATAGCCCTGCCTAACAGATTCAAATATGAGACCCCCCAGATGTGACTCCGTGCGCACCAAACGCAACCGGCAAAGTGAGTTTTCCGCTATTCCCTTTTATTCCAGAATCGCAATCGGACCACGAAATCTAGAAATATCTCTTTATACCAGAGTTCAGGAAGGGTTTGGGAGCCCAGCCAAGTGGGAAAAAGTTGGGGATTCCTCTTGGATTCCCCAGAGCGTTCTGGAGACCACGGGCGTCGGTGCACGCGCGCCCGGAGATGCGCCCCGGCTCGAGGAAACTATTTGGAGGGTTCCTTCGGAGAGGCGGCCGGGATTCCCTCGCGTGGTCCTCTGGGAGGAGGCACATCAATTTGAGGGGCAGTTCAGGGGGTGGGGGTTAACCGGGCGGTTTCCATGGCGCCCGGGGCGTGGGGGAGGAATACACTCCTCAAACTGTGGCGAAACAACCGGGCTGCCGGGCCCGCCCGGCTGGAGGAGGCAGGAGGGAAGCAGGGAGGGGAGGCGGGGTGGGGGTGGGGGGAGCCTAGCGGGACGGGGGCGGGGCGGTCACGTGCCCTAGGGGCGAGGCCCCGAGCCGGCCGGGAGCGAACCGAGTCCGGCGAACCGGCTGTGCAAGGAGCCAAATATTTCCTGAACCGAGAGACTGGAAGTGGCCAGGACCGGGCTGCGGCGTCTGCGGCGGGGCTGGGGGACAGCCGGCCCCTACGGAAACGCAGGGCAGAAGTTTGGAGGTGAGCGTCGGAGGCCCACCCGTGGCTTTTACGCAGGATTGGGTCTTCATTTCTCCTGGGGCAGACTGGGGCGACCGCCCTGTCAGCTTTATGGGACCAGCTGAGCGACTGTGCCCTTAAGATCGCCGGAGTTCGCAGCACCTGTGCAGGGCTCAGGAGCGGCCGTGGTCATGGTGAATGAAGATTCCAACCTGGAGGAGCGCGATGGCACCCCCGAGGAGTTCCCGCTCCGGGCGGACCCCAGCATCCCCGCCGACCCCAGCGTCCCCGCCGACCCCAGCGTCTCGGCCCATCCCAGCGTCTCGGTCCATCCCAGCGTCTCCTTCCACCCCAGCGTCTCTGCGAACCCCAGCAGTTCAGCCCTCCCCAGTACCGTGGTCCAAACCGGTGACTTGGCCCAACCCAGTAGTAGTAGTAGCAGCACGAGCCCAGAGGACCTCAGTGTGATCAAGGTGAGCAAGCGCCGTTGGCTTGTGGTGCTGGTGTTTAGCAGTTACTCCATGTGCAACGCCTTCCAGTGGATCCAGTATGGCTCAATCAATAACATCTTCATGAAATTTTACGGGGTCAATGCCTTTGCCATCGACTGGCTGTCCATGTGCTACATGCTGACCTACATCCCTCTACTACTGCCAGTGGCCTGGCTGCTGGAAAAATTCGGCCTGCGCACCATCGCCCTCACCGGCTCTGCTCTCAACTGCTTGGGGGCCTGGGTGAAGTTAGGGAGCCTGAAGCCACATCTCTTTCCAGTCACAGTGCTGGGCCAGGTCATCTGCTCTGTGGCCCAGGTCTTCATCCTGGGCATGCCCTCCCGCATCGCTTCAGTCTGGTTTGGGGCTGATGAAGTTTCAACGGCCTGCGCCATAGCTGTCTTTGGCAATCAGGTAGGTAGAAGAGTTTGTGGGTGTTCAGAGGAATGGGCATCATATTATGGGACTGAGTGTGTCAGATTGTATCTAACTGCACTTAACTGTGTGGGAGACTTATTTTCTGACTTCAACTGTGTTTGTGACTCTGGGTGACTTTATGGGCTGGGTGTGTTTGATGGTGTGAGTGATTATGATTGGGTGACTGTGTAAGAGAAGTGCCCCCGGGGAAGGTGGGAGGAAGAAACCTTCTCTTTCACCCACAATTGCTCCTTCCCCAGCAGAAAGCATGCTATTGAAACATGTGATCATGTGATTTTTTTTTTTTTTTTTTTTTACTATTTCATTCTTGAACCTGTTGGCTTAGACCTTTGACTTTAGGAAAGCTGTCCTTTGGGAGCAGCTCCAGAACGTCAGACTATTCCGGTACCGTCAGAATTTAGCAGGTGTTTTTAGCCTGACCAACCAGTTTTCCTAGAGTGCAGTATCTCCTGTACTACATAGAATTGCAGAGCGGTGTCCTAGTGGAATTTGGCACTGTTCTTACCTTCTTTGGTAAATAGCTAAAGCCAGGACAGTGGGAACAATGCTTTGTGCCAAACTCCTTTTCTTGGGTTTAGAGCCAAGTTCAGCAGGATGGAGTAGAAATCTCACTCTGAATTTCCAAAGACTAAGAACCTTGGAAAGGCCCGGAAAACTCATCTTTAAATCCTTTCTCTTTCTTTTTTGAGCAGCTCAAATTCTTTGCATCTCAGTGTGGTTATGACCCAGAAAATTGGGCGTGTTATGAATCTGAGTGTCTTCTCCAGATATTTGAAACAAATTATATATGGGATTCTTCTTCATCTGAACCACTGCCTCCTGGTCTCACTGCTGCCCAAGCATACTCACTTGTGGCGAGGTGTTTAAAAGTGACCAGTAACCCTTAGTTCATATTAGCCTGTGTTTTCTTATCTGTGATTGCATTTAGAAATTGTAACCTTTCATTCAGAAATTTCTCATTTGGGTCAGAAGTTTTCCAAACTTCTCTAGGGCAAATTTTTATTCTGTTCATCTTCACCATCAGGAAGTTGACTTGAGCTAAATGTTCCCAAGCTAGTAAGTCCTGCCACTTGGGTAATAGTGTAAGCGACCAATGAAAACAAACAGAGGCTTTCTTTAGCACACAAACAGGCAACTTAAAATCCTTTACTATTTTTTTTTCCACCCCTGAGTTTGAATATTTTGAAGACTGAATTGATTTGAGGTCCAGGGGTGAAACGAGGGATCTTGTTCAGGGCAGGTGTTGGGGGTGACATTTACCAGCCCCCTGTCCTCTAAGCCGTAGAGTCTAAGGTGATGTGACTGGATTTTAACATCCCCATTGCAGCTGCTGGTGGGTTTGACATTACTGGATTTTTCCTTTATAGGAGGGCAAAGCAGTAGAACAAGATGCAGACAAGGTCACTGTAATCCTAACTCTTAGTTTGGGGAAGGCAGAACTAACTGGGAGAAGCCCTTAGGTGGGGCCAGGTGAGATCAGAGAATCCAGCACTTGTTTTGTTAACCACTAAGGGTAAACTAGTAGGTTTCAGACCCTTCCTCACACACCTGTGAGGGAACTTAGCATCAGATATAGCTTTAAAATTTAATAAGAATAGTTATTAATTCATCACCAGTACTTCCCACCAAGGCCAGGAAATGCTAATGATTTTATATTTAAAAACACTCTGACAGTATATATTTATATCACAGAGCCATCTATTTAGTTTGATTTTTTAGGCTCAACCTACTGTGCTAAGTTAAAAAAGAAAAAAATGGAATTGTTTATTCTGCCTCTCATAGAGATAAATATTTGGTTCTCAGCATGTGTTTTATTTTTTTCTTTATTGATTCTAGAGAGAGAGGGGAAGAGAGAGGGAGAGACAGAGAAAATATCAATGAGAGAGGACATCGATTGGCCACCTCCTGCACGCCCCTGACTGGGGATCGGGCCTACAACCTGGGCATGTGCCCTGACCAGGAATTGAACCGGCGACCTCTTGGTGCATGGGTTGATGTTCAACCACTGAGCCACACCAGCTGGGCTCAGACCTTTCTTTTTGAGGAACACGTGACTGAGTGGAGGAGAAATATTAACAGAGCACGTTGAGCTTCACTGCTTAGGAAAAAGGCTCCACAAAACTGTTAAAGATTTAAAAAGTCATTCTGCAGAATAATTCTTTTTTTTTTATTATTTATTTTATTTTATTTTATTTTTTTATCCTCACTCGGGGACATTTTTTCATTTTTTGTTCAGATAGAGTGGGAGGGAGAGAGGAAGAAAAAGAGAGAGAGAGAAAGAGAGAGAGACATCAATGTGAAAGGGACACATCGAGTGGCTGCCACCCGCATAACCAACCAGGGCCGGGGACAAACTGCAACCGAGGTATATGCCCTTAGCAGGAACCTAACCCGGGTCTCTCTGGACCACAGGCTGACGCTCTAACCGCTGAGCCAAGCTGGCCAGGGCATCTGCAGAATAATTCTTCATGGCCTGCAAACTTCACACTGATCAGCAGAACTCCTATACCCTAGTAATCCCCACCTCTCTCTTCTAGTGCCTCTTATATGTTCCACACACGCACCAGCCCCTGCTTATATTCAGTCCAACATTTGTTCATTCATTCAAGCTTTTACCTACCTATGTGGGCAAGGAAGAAAATTTCTTCTACCCTCCTAGGTTCTTTCAGCTGGTCTAATAATTAAATCAACGTGAGACAGAGTAACAAGATAAAATAACCAAATTTAATTACATAGGTACATATGGGAACCCCACATACATGAAAGAGTCAGATATATACCCTCCCATACAGGAGAGGTTCAGAGACCAAAAGGTAAAATGAGGTTTGTATAACATCCCGAGCCAAGGACAAAGGTAAAATGTCTTGGGGCTTGAGGGGGGAAAGGGAGGTCATTCGAAGGATAATAAGAAGAGTAGATGTTCAATAATGAGAAGTTTGCCCTGTTCAATAGATAGGTCATTGAGGTTATTTCTGGTAACAATGAAACTGGATACAATAGGTCCAAGGTTGCCTGTCACTACTTGAGCCAAAATAAGCAGAGACAGGGTTGAATCATATATGAGGATTTATTCCAAAAATGCTGGCAGTATGGGGAGAGCAGCAGGTCATCGTGTAAATTCTGCTGTAACACTTCCTATTAGCCAGGTGGTATATAGAGATAAATAAGAAAGGGGCTGCATACAAGGGGGAGGGGGCAGGGTAAGGGCTGCAGGGTCCCTGGTCTGTGTGTTTCCTTCCAGCGTCTTGAAGTCTGATAACAAGGTAGTTAACCTTCTGTGATGTTAAAACAGTCCACCTGATCCTGGGACTGGAGCATGGTCAGCATTCCTGAAGCAAACTCCCAGAGGGGGTCAGGGTCCAGGCACAGCAACCAAATCAAAGTGTGTCCTGTCCTTTGTTTGTTCTCAAAATGTATTTTCTTTTCTGAGTAATGGACCATCCGGGCTCTAAGGCAGCTTGTCTTTTTACAGCCCTGTTTGTCTTCTTGCAGTACATCTTCTGTAAGAAAGTTTTTATAGTCAGTAAGATGAACAGTCATTGAACAACCCTGGCTCTATTCCTATTTCGTGCCTTTCCCCCTAGCAATTACTCTTATTATGGACAAGGCCCACAGTTTAAATTCTAGGAAGTTAAGGGAGTGGAGAAGTTTCTCCTGAATCTGCAGGGTCTCAGTTGCCTTTAGCTCAAAATAACCCATATGCCAAAGTAGCATATGTCCCGAACCTCTTTACCTAGCTCCTCCTTTTTGCCAGATGCTGCATCAAGGGCATGTACCTGGGTTGCAGTTTCAATTCCGGGCCCTGGTTGGGGTCCTGTAGGAAGCAATCAGTTAATGTTTCTCTCTCACCCTCCCTCCCTCTCTCCCTCCCTTCCACTCTCTCTAGAAATAAAAAAAAATCAGTGGAAAAATACCTACCCTCGGGTGAAAATTTATAACTAAATAAAATAAATAAATAAATAAACAAATACCAGGCACCAAATTTCAGATTTTTTAAAAAAGCAAAACTGTACATTGCGTATAAAGGATTTATTTTCTGCAGAAAATAAATGAGGTGTTTAGTATCTCCTTTGCCTAATTGCTGAGGAAAAATTTTAGGGAAACGGAGCTAAATATCTATGAAAACACTTATTCTGTGCAAGATACTTTTTCATCCATTATTTACTTTTTCAACGCCATGAAGTAGATGGAATTGTTCTCATTGTTACAGGTGAGGAGCTTGAGACAGATAAATGGAGCAACCTTATTCAGGGTCCTTCAGGGACTGAGCGGCAGAAGGGAGATTCGAGCCCGATTCCACCTTCAAAGAGCATGTCGATAATTGGTCCATACTGAGTCTTCACGTGGTTAAAGCATATATTAAAAAAAAAAAAAAAAGGCAGGATTCTGAGGTTTGAATTTTGCCCCTTGTGTCTCAAGGGTTGTTGTTGGCGGAGAGCCTAGCTCCTGTTTTCTGAAGTTCCTAGCATTAGCATTGTGCCCCCCACCCCATTGCAAACTGCTAAGGGGCCAGTGCTGCTGGTCTGCTGCTCTGAATTTAGCATGGAGAGATACAAGAGGGTGGGTTCGCATTTCTAGGAAGAAGAAACCAGTAAATCCTGGGCTGAGGTGAGGGGAGGGAAGGAGGCTCAGACTGCAGCTGAAGCTCTTCCCCTTCCCTCTGGCCAGTTGAACAGGTGGTGACAGACTGGAATTTTAACACTTGTTCCATTGTTTCAAGGCCAAATGATCCTTGTGGGGTTTTGAGTGATGTGGACACATTGTTATTGTGCAAGGGTTAGAAGAAAGCCTGTGTTAGCTTGGTGGCCAAGGATGAGGGAGATGTGGGAGCTGAAGTCAGCCCCATCCCCCATGGGGAGCCTGTAGCACCCAGAAGGGAAGGGACTTCTCAAGGACTCAGGCTGTTCAGAGCAGCGCCACCCAATAATAGAGTAGGAGAGAATCAGTTTGCTTTCCATGTAAGAAAAATCCAGTTA